CAAAAATAGTCAGAAAATAGTAGTGCATTTATTCTGTCACATATATCCCTGTTTTTGGGAAATTTATGACACCAATTTGTTTAAATATTATATTCCGTAGAGTGAAAAAAATGACATTAACGATTCACCTTTTTCACCTCGTAAAATTCGAACTCGAGTTATTGAAGTATCGGTTGTTTCATCACGCTCTGGAACATCACGCTGTTGGTCAAGACGAGGGTACCGAGGAAGAATAAGACATTCTGGCATTGGTCTATATGGCAAAGGCAAAGAGCCATCAGGAAGCAGCCGCACTTCTAATATGTATATGGATGGGCAATTGAAGCGAGCAGTACAGCATTCCGAAACGGTGATTGGTGGACAAAATTCATCCAGAAAAGCACGCTAAATCAAATCTTTACTAAGATATACCGGGATAAGTTTTTTACCGCATTTGTTGAAATGCATAGTTTTTACCATTAGAGAATGAATTAATAGTTGGATGAATTGCATGAAGACGAGCTCTATTCTATTATTCTATAAAAACCTTTTATGGCTTACTTTATCTCAGTGAAGTAATGAAAAAACCATCTTAAATGATCCAATTGTCGTTAGTAACTAATTTGAACTATATGTAATTTAAAAAAGAAACAAAGACATAGGGAAACAGCTACCTCAATTCCTTCCTTCCACAAATCAATAATTTGAAATTTACTACACCAACCATAGCTTGTCACAAACGCAACTGGTATATCTTCCGTTGACACGCAACCTATTGGTGGTTTCTCAACTTCGAATCTAAACTACGAGTTTAATAAGTAAAATCCAATCAAAAAGCAACGAATCGTGCATAATCGCGTCTAAAACAAAATCACATAAAATGATCTCATACGATTCGTATGTTATGCTAAGTGTCCCTTTCTTGAGCTTATCCTGCTCCATTTGAATCACCTCTACATCGGGCTAGAGATCTGAAATCAGACATAAATATCGGCGGACAAATGGATTTTGTTTCTTTAGT